TGGAGTGAGGGGCCCAAAGCTGAACACAGCACTCGAGGTGGGGCCTCACCAGTGCCCAGTACAGGGGCATAATTACTGCCTTAGTACATGGGCACAATCAGTTCCCTGCATGGAATGGGGTTGGTACCATTCCTTCTGGGGTCTGACGTAAGATGGAAGCTGTAGGTGGACACAGCCCGGTGTTTCCACGTGGATCCCTGGGTCATGGAGGAAGTAGCCAAGGGACTACACTTTCTGCAGCTTACTAGTAATATCAAATTCCTATTTAATCCTCAAGAGGGAAATCTGAAAAAAAAATCCAATAACTGCTCTGGCAGTTAATATGCACTGAATCTTGAAAACATTTCTGCAATTAAGACTGGTAAAGATTTCTGATTAACACATCTGGCGTGCAATATTTAGAATCTAAACTTAGCTTCAGTACTAAAAACTGCATTTTAGCAGACAATGGGCGAAACAAATTTGATCTCGTAAAATACTGGCATTTAAAAGAATGGGTAGGAAATGGCCCCACAAAGCTTTTCCATGCTGGTTTTTTTTTTTCTTTTCAGGAAGCCAAAGGCCTCAAAACTGAAGTTGCAAAAGCAGTTTCAATTGGGTAAACTGGAAGAAGGGGACAATTTCTACTTCAAACATTAAATGGGACGTGTGACATTCCAGGGAAAAACTTTGTGGTTTAAACAAACTTGGCTGAGTGAAAGGCATTTTTACAGCTAGCATTTATGTAACACACTTCTGAAAATCACAGACTGTTCTTCCAGCATCCTGTTTCACAGGTTCCTTAGGATTATATATATTTGTATACAGCATTCAAATCTTCGTTAAAATGTGAGAGCAGCACTCTCTGTGCAAAAGCATTCTCAACAGACGGTTCCACTGCTACACCTATACAAATGTTCGTTGTTTATAAACATAAAAGCTGTATTCTCTTCAAAGCACTATGGAAGCTTTGCATCCCTTCCTATCACTTTGCAGAGCGAACAGGAGCTCTAATCCAGTTTTCAGGACCTTGGCTTTTGTGTGTGTTATTCTTTTTAATTATCTTTTTTTTTTATTTCCAGCAACAAAAACATCTATGTAACACCGGGTGCACTGCTTCTAACTGGGGTGCTAACTCAGGAGGGAAAAGGGACATGTATTGGATACTCAGCACCATGTCCTGAGGTGTGGTGATTATTTTTTTTCATCTTTTCTTCTTATCTTAGAATCATAGAACGGTTTGGGTTGGAAGGGACCTTAAAGATCATCTGGCTCCAAGCCCCCTGCCATCAGCAGGGACATCTTCCACCAGACCAGGGTTCTCAGAGCTCCATCCAGCCTGGCCTTGAACCCTGCCAGGGAGGGGGCAGCCACAGCTTCTCTGGGCAGCCTGGGCCAGT